GTCTGCCTGGTGCCAGGACTGCTGAGAAGGAGATGAATGTATGAAATATGCATGAAGCTCTCAGCAAGGCCGCCCCGAGACCTCGTTCCCTCCCAGGAGCAGCCGCCACCACACAGCCCCGACACGGCCAGCAGGGGCCAGGCCACTGACGGAGCAATGCCCCTGTGCCCTCCAACCAGGAGCTCCAGGCGGGGAGAGGCCGCAGCAGTGGGGGCCCTGCTGTACCCCGACTCTGTCCTGACCATCACCCCATCTCTGGGCTTCCTCCAGAGCCAGGGTGAGGACTCAAGCAAAACCCGTGAGGGAGGGTGCCTCCTAATGGGAGCGGGGAGCTGGCAGCCTGGGTGAGGCCTCAGGGGCTGAGACAGATCCAGGGCTCCTTCCGAGCTGTAGGGACCCGGCTTTAGGGACCTGGTGACAGACAGGTGGGTCCGGCCTCTGCGCCGCCCCATCCTGGAGGAGCAGTAAGGGATGACCCGGCTGCCTACAGGGCTGGGGAGCGACACAGGGTGACCCCGTAAATGACCAGTCATGGTGACCTGGGCTCGGAGCTTTCTGAGCAGAAGAAACCAGTTCTGTCCCACTGCTGTCCCCTTCGACACAGGGGATGGCTAACACCTGGGACAGGTGTATGAGTCAGGGCTCAGCCCAGCTGCAGGCCCTGAGGCTGACAGGGCACGGGGGCTGGGCCTGCAGGGGGACGGGACCAGCAGACCTGGGGGATGGCCGTCTCTCCACCTCCAGGCCTCCAACCTGGACCTCACAGGTGTGCTGTGCACCTGCAGGTGCCTGGCCCAGGGGCAGAGAAGCTGAAGGAAGGAGCCTGAGCAGCTGCCAGCACCCCCAGGGGGAGCCAGTGGGTCTATGACAAGGACACCCTCCCCCTTAGGGGTAGGAACCCCTCATGGAGCTCACCCTATACCTGTCCTGTGTTCTCAGCCCGTGGCCAAAAGGGACTTCTAAATCCTAAATATTTTCATGGAAATCTGTCTTATGCTAAACTCGTGAAAGTGAACACAGCTAAGAGGCTGACCGCCCCCGCCCTGAGATATTTTCATTATTTGATAAGGATTTAAATGGATTTTAACTACCTCCCCAGATAGTTCTTCTTAAATGTTTTAATTTTAAGACCTTCCTGTCTTAATACATTATATGGTGCATAATCAGGCTGTATATTCACTCCCCTATCTCAGCCTGAGTCATAAGAAGATGGGATAATAATAATACCTCCGTCGGGTGATTAAGTACAGCAATTGGGGCAAGGCCGGCCTCCTCCCAGCTCCAGCTGCCTGGGGGGCCTCTCCCTCCCCTTCCTGCCATCTCCTGACCTCCCCTCCCCCCCCCGACCCTTTGGCCCCACAGGCCCAGGCACCGGTCACTCCTGTGGCAGCCCAACCGGACCAAGACGCTCTCTCTGGGATAAGGGTATGGCGCATGTGGCATCGATCAAGCCTGGCCCTGCTCACCCTCAGCCCCCGCAGGATGGGGAGGGCTATTTGGAAAGAGCAGAATCCGATCTTTAGTTTAAAGACCAGCCCCAGGCTCAGCCGCTGGTGCCGGAATCTCTGACCCCACATCTCTGTTTTAAACAGCGTTGCCCAGCAGAGCGTTGCCCAGCCCTGGAGAGAAACGGGGACAGGTGTGCTAGCTCCGTGGGCCTGGGCAGGTGACTTCTGCTGCCTGGAAGGCATAGGACCGGGACTCCTGAGGGCCCACGTGCCCTGGAGGAGATAAGGGGGTACAGGGAGCACTGAGCTCAGGGCCGGTCCTGGCTTAACCTCCCAGCGTGACTGTGTGGGGTCTTGCTGAGCAGTGGTGAGACACCAGGGCCCCGAGGCCAATTGCCTCCACTCCAGCCCGATCGCTCACTGCCTCTCTGACTCAGTCTGTCTGTCCGTAAAATGGGGCGATCTTGACTGCCCTGTGGGTTCCTGCGAGGATCACAGGAGTTAGCAGCCTGTGGAAGCAGGAAGCAGGGAAATGTCTGGCAGAGGTCCGAGTTGAGGACATCTGAGTGCCATTGTCGCCTTAGGGCCATTGCACCCCAGGCCAGCACGGTCCACTTCGCCACTCTGCCTTCTCTGCACTCGTTGCTCCCGGAGGGCAGGCCCTGAGAACAAACCGGGCTGTGGCCTTGCTGGGGCTCAGTGGCTGCTGTGGCCAATCGCCACATGCGACCCTGTTGTTCTGCCCCCCTCCACCCCCCGCTCAGCTAGAGACGAGGGGCATTGGCAGGCCCCGCATCAGTAACCCAGGATTTGCTGTCCAGGCCTCGTGGCCACCAAGGTCAGGCCGACCTTGGAAATCAGCTCCGGGAACAGCTCCCTGCCAGCCACCCCACCGAGGCCACCAGCAGGCAGGGCGGACGCGGACGGCGTGGACGCGGTCGGATCATTGGGCCTTTATGGGCCATTCCATCTCTAAAATATGGCGTCGGTTGCAAAGTGATGATGCCTGTGGCAAGAAATATTTATCGTGCATAGGACCGTAATAAATATTGCTTTTATATCCTAAATAAAACCGAAAAATCCTGAATGTTTTGTGGGCCCCTTTTATGTCTTCCCATTACGGCCCCGGTCCAGTGGTTTAGCCAAAATTTAGTGGCCGTGAACATGAGCTACAGTGACATGCTCCCCATCAGTGCGCTCCACCACCGCTGTCCTGGGGGGACCCCGCTCTGACCGAGACCGTCGGACGTGCAAGGAACAGCTCCCCGAAGCCGGGAAATGGCCGCTTCATGCACACGCTGATTCTGCATTCGGAGGCCCGATTGGATCAGGATCCCTCGTTCCACATCCCTGCGGGCAGGGCGCTGTGGGAAGATACGGTGAGGGTGCAAACACGTGTGGCTCCAGACAGCCTCTCACCTGGGCCAGTCCGAACCACACATTCGGGCGTTGTGTTAACTGCGTGTGTTGCCAAGGTGAGGAAGTTGGAAGGAGGGTAAAAATCATTCATTCCTCCGCACGCTTTGCCGGAAGGTGCCTCCTGGTAAGGAGCACGTGGGAGGCCCCCATCCCGAGACCTCACAGGCAGGTTAGGGGCCTACAGTGGACACACCATCCCGGGTGGACGCGGAGATGAGCAGCAGCACCGCCCACTGAGGCCAGCGCCCCGCCCGTGCCGCAAGGGCAGAAGGGGTTCTGTCCTCTCCTGTGAGCTGCAGCCTGTTCCTCTTCATGGCCCTGACTTCTGTCTCCTAGAGCTGCAGGTCGTCTCCCAAAGGATGGTCCCCACGGGACTGAGATGGGGCCCAGGAAGGTGACTTGATGACAAGGGGCTCAGAGAACAGACACGACCAGCACCAGCGAGGGGCACTGGGAAATGCAGGCCTTTCGGACGCTCCCTGGGAGGGACCGTGAGCAGGGGGTGGTGACAGAAGGTGTAGAGAGGGGACTATTGGGAGCCACACTTGAGCACCAGGTTCCACCATGGGCTGTTTCATGCACGTGTGCACACACCACACACACGTGTGCACACACCACACACACGTGTGCACAACACACAAGCATGGCTGCCGGCTCATCGCCATTTCACTCTGCCCCCATTCAGTTCTGGGAACTCCACGCTTGGGCATCCCGAGGGGATGTTTTTCTTGATAATCCAACATATCCGCCCCCCCTCCCCCCAAAATGAAAACGTTTAGAATGTCTGCTCACTGCCACCAGCCAGCTCGACCTCACTTTGCTCTCCTGGACACCCGGTCCTGCTGCCGTGGCAGGAGATGGGGTCGGACTCCTGTTAAGGAACAGAAGACAGAACATGGAAGAAAATGTCTGGTTGGCCAGGGCCTGTCCCCAGTGAGCCCCCGTCCTGTAGATGACTACGTCACGGGGTCACTGCAGCTCCCCTGCACCCCTCCTCTGAGGCCTGGGTGGCCAGCAGCTGAGGACACAGGGGGGCTCTCCCGGGCCCAGAGGGGGTTCCAGCACAGGAGCAGCAGTGACACCCCTGCCACCTGCTGAGCAGATGTGCCTTCTCCAGCGAGGGCGGAACCTCTGCCTTTTTTCTAATATACTGATTTCAGAGAGGAAGGGAGAGAGAGACATCAATGAAGAGAGAGAATCATTGATCGGATGCCTCCTGCACGCCCCTGACTGGGAATTGAGCCTCAACCGGGCATGTGCCCTGACCAGGAATTGAGCCCCGACCTCCTGGTTCATAGGTCGACGCTCAACCACTGAGCCACACCTGCCGGGCGGGAAGGCACTTTCTGTAGAGGCTTCTCCGAGCCCTGGGGGTAAGGGCTGCTTCTTAGGTCAGCTATCCCTCTGTCCGCCACCGTCTCTGTCCTTGCTGGCCTTAACACGTATCCATCAGTTAGTCTTCTTCCCATGAAACGGCCCTGCTCAGATCACAAGGTGGTTTCTGGTTCCCGATGAGACCCTGGCTGATGGGAGTGGGATTGGTTTCCCCAGGAGCAGCCTCACATAAACTAGGAGGTCAAGGTTCAATTCCCAGTGATGCCCTAGAAGACACCCCACTGGGCCACGGCCTTCCCCCGAGCCACGGCCCAGCACTGCACAGAGAGAGACCTGTGAACAGCACTGGCATGAAGACCAGGGCACAGCCCAAGAGAGAGAACCCATGTGCCCAGGTGTGTCCTAATATGCGTGGGACTGAGAGGCAGGCGGGGAGGTGGTGCCACTGTGGGCCAGGGCCAGGGGCAGCGTCTCTGAATAGACACTCCCTGCACCTGGGAGTGAGTAGGTGGGCGCTCCATCACTTAAAGAACACGATTCATTATCCGGGGTTTCATCCCACGTCATTGTACGTTGAAAAGGAGGAGTTTTGTTTGAGTAGGATATAGAGAGCCCATCTGGGCCATCATCAATGTTTCTGTGAATGTTTCAAAATAGAGTATCTTCAGTTATCACTCAGTTTTGCTGCTTAAGGTTGTGTCGGAAGACTTCGCCACAAAAACACATTGGTTTAAAATATTTATTAATTTAAAAATTTTAAATTTTTTTCTATACAAAGATGATGAGAAAAGTCCCATGCACACTCTGGGCATACAATAAAAATAACTCAAATGTCATTGGATGGTTTTGTACAAAATAATTCTTTTTCGGTGGGACCTCCGACAGGCAGTGCAGCCCCCTCTCCGGGCCGGGTGTCCCGGGGGTATGGTGTGATTACCTTACGACACCTGGGGGTGCCCCGCCCCCGTCCCTATGCCCTGGTGTTCACAGATGTCACTATGAGGAATGATAAAGTACCCTATTGCTACTACGCAGAAAACTAGACGGAGACGTGAGGACACTTGAGTGAGGAGCGCCCCGGCTCCGGGAACTCCTGGGGGCCCGCAGGGACTCACAGAGGTTGGCAGGGAGGCTGCAGGGAGTCGGCTCAACTCGGGAAAACGCCTTGAGACGGTTTCAGATGGTGCCCGCTTCTGCCGAGTTACCAACCTGCGGTGGGTTTAGCATCTGTATATATTACAAGTCATTTGCAGAATTAAAACAACCAAGGGATCCACATGGCATGGCAATTAGAAATGCATCGAACTCTGCACGTGGTACAAAAAGCTTCAATATGAAACAGTAATCCTCTGAGAACTGAGCCGGCCCGGGAGGCACCCCCGCTGTGCAGCCTGGGCCTCCCCCACCGCCACCCCTTTCCCGCAAAGCTCAGTCTTATTGCATTTTCCACACACTCATCTCATTTTCCGCAGCCTGAGTCTGTTTTCCTTGTCCCGTTTCTTAAGCGAAAGGATGAATTGGTTGAAAAAGTGCTCTTGGTCCTTCCTTTTTTGAACAAGTCGGAATCTCTGGTCCCGGCCATACTTCTCGGCAAACTCCTTGAATGTGGTCCTGAAAAGCAAGAGGGTCCTGCTAAGCCCTTCCCTGAGCCGAGTCCTGGTGCTCCGGAACCGTGCCCGCCGGCCGTGCCCGAGAGGGAGGGCGCCCCTGCCCCAGGTCCAGCTGCAGGGCCAGGGGAGCAGGGAGTTTGGGGGGATCAATGGGCTAGAGGGAGTAGCTCTGGGCCTCCAACAGCTGACCCACCTGCTCCCCACACTGGGCTACTCCCACTGGGGCTACAGACCCATCGAAGGTGTGTGCATACTTTCACTTGCAGACCCCCCATCGGCACATCCAAGAGCCTCTAGAAATGAGCCTGGCCTCCCTGCCTCTCCGGCCTCCTCGCTCTGAGCCCGCTGCTGCCCACCTGCCCCCCATCGTTGTTTCGGCCACACAGGTCTTCTTCCGTCTCTTGCTCTTACCAATCACCAACCTGCCACGGGTCTTGGCATATGCTGTTCCCTTGCCTGGCACACCCTTCCCTTATTTCTTCACTCATCATTTAAAGCCCACTCATTATTAAGCGTCAGGCCGACCATATTTTCCTCGAGAACATGCTCCCTATCTGGAGGGCCAGAGACCTGTGCATGGCTCAGGCATGATTTTCGTCAAGGATACGACCTCCCTAAGCCTCCATAGTGCAGTTTTACTCGACCCTCCCTCACGGGTGTGGGAACGCCAGTATCGGCTTTGTCCCCATTGGACATCCTGAAGGTCTGGCCCTGTGGCCGGGTGTAGTGAGCACCCAGATATTGGTGGACTGAATCCGTAACTGCCAGGCCAGGGAGTCCCTGTGAGGTCACTGGAGAGGGGTCATGGAACCTTCGCCAGCTCGGGGTCCTCAGGGCTTTCGCTCCTTCCAGGTCTGGACCTGAATCTCAGGAGCTGTGACAGCTACAGAGCGGCCGAGGCCCAGGGGCCACGTGCAGGCGTTCAGACCTGCCTCCCTCGGAGCCTGGCGGGGGGCTGGGCCTGAGCGGCTAGGGTTCCTGGGGTGCAGGGGAAAGCTCAGCCTTGGTCCAGGGGGCACCTTAGCCCCCCCCCCCCGCCCCATTCCTGGCGTATTTCTCTCCATACCTGGATGACACCTTCGACTCCTCCAGAAGTTTCCTGAATTCTTCTTTGGCTAGCAGCAATTTGCTTTTCTTTTCCTTGTATTCCTCTTTTATCCTCGTCTTGACAAACTGTTCAAATATCTGAAAACACACACAAGAGAAAAGTATTAGGGGGCTGCGTATCAGACATGCAAGTTTGTGTTTCAGACACTACAGGGGACAGCAGGACCAGAGGCGAGCCTTTCTCCTCACAGGGGCTGCAGCTCCAAGCCACGGACCTTGGAGGGGTCACTGCCCAGGACTCCACCTGGGTTCCCCCCGGGAGGCCAGCATGCGGCCCCTGCAGGCACCATCCCTCCGACACCAAATCGCCGGGGAGTGGCTGGCTGTGCAGAGCTGGCAGTGTGGACGCCAGCCCTGAGGCCACCGTGAGTCTCCTCTTGGGTCTCGGAGAGCAGCCTGCAGTCCCGTCCCGCCAACTCTCACATCACAGCCAGCTACACGCAGAGGACGTACTCTGTTCTAGTCAATTCTTATGGCAACGTCATTGCCTTTGAGTCAGTGCGGCACCTGATCCCGCACACTCTGGCCTCCAGAAAGACCCACCTGTGAGTGTGGGCTCAGGGTCACCCTCTCCCAGGGGTGTCACGGAGCCTCCAGGACACCGGTGGGTCATCAAAGCAGAAAGGACCAAGAGGAGACCCGGCCTGGACACTGGCTGCCCGAGGTTGACAAGCCGTGTGTCTGCAGGGAGCCCTGCCCCGCGCTGGGAAGGGCGTGGACGCCCGGAAGGCAAATCCCTCAGGACCGGGGCGGTTTCTCTGGGGCACTGGGGTGGCCCTCCTCTGGTAGGTTAAGGTGGCTCATTGTTCTAACGTCAGGAAAAGGGTCGTTCCAGATGCTAAAGCCACGGCGGGCAGAGCAGGGCTGCTGGTTGCCCGTGCCCTCTGAGCCTCAGGACGAGCCTCAGGAACATCCGCTGAAGGTGTGTGCGAACACAAATGAAAAGATGAATGAAAACCCCACACGGGATCCTATCAGGTCAATAACGAGCAATTCTGTGCCATTCCGACCAGTGGCCCTGGCGGAGGGCGGGCTTCGACGTGGGTGCCCGGGAAGCCTCGCCTTCCTGCCGAGGGGACCGGGACAGGACAGGGCGGAGGGGACAGGATGGGCTGACGGACGCTGTGGCTTGTCTCTGGCTCTGGATTCCATCCGTCACAAGCCTCTGGGATGAGACACACGGAATGCTGGGTGCCCCCTGAAGACGCAGCAGCAGAGACATCCACGCAGGGGACTTAAAAAGGGACAACGCGCGCACATGTACTAAGTCGGGATGTGACCGGCTTATTCCCCCTTCACAGCAGGAGGTGATGTAATCTCCCCGGTTGCCTGGTATTTTAACTCATCGGGAAGGTGAACGCGGGGTTATTATCCAAACAGCGGCTCTGCTGTTGGTGGGAGTCCTGCTCTATTCATTTTAAATCTGGAGAGAGAGCCCGGCCCGCTCTCTGCCCAGAGCCGTTTATCTGCCTGATCAGACACTCCTCTTTCCTCTCCCTTTGCTCCCTCTGCCGCGTTATTTACGCAGCATCACTTCATGCCGCAGGGCTCGGGTCTCTTTAGCAAACTGGACCCGTTTTATTCAGAGTGGGGTCTGGCTTTCCCACAGAGACCCTGCTGGCTCTCGTCCCAGGATGGCATGTTCTAGTGTAACAAGATGAAACACCATGCGTTACCATAGAAACGGGTCTGATTGCAGGCCCTGGACCCCCGCTCCTTGTCTAGGCTCACCCGCTTCCCCTCCGCCGCCCCAGGACCCTCAGGGTTCGCCATGACCACGCTGCTGACGGGAGGCCCTCACAGGCTCCCAGTGGGATGCTTCCATTCGTAAACAGGGCTGTGTGTTTTGAATGGGGCCCAGCTGTCATCCCCCCATCACGTCAGCCTCGGTTCCAAGCCTCCTAGACTGCCGCCTCTCCCCGGGGTGGGGCGGATTCTCCTGAACGCTGGCGTCTACCCTCTGCGGACGCTCGTGCCCAGTGCATCAGCCACCGGCTCCTTCCCTTCCTCCTCGGCCTCGGGACCAAGCGCCCGTCGGCCAGGCCTCCCTTTGAAACATGCTCCAGGCAGGCTACCCGCGATCCGGCCCTGTCCTTGTGGGGACGTCCACCCTTTACTTAGGGACACGGTTCCCTGGGCCTCTCCCGTCTCCCCGTTCGTACAACAGACTTTCATCTCCCTAACACGGTCATCCAGGGAGAGCTCATCAAGAAGGTGACAGGATACCCTTCCTCCAGACCTGCCACACACCGGCCACCAACTCCCAGGCTGGAGCACCCGTCCACACCTCCCCCGGACGGCGACATCTGTCCGCCAGCCATGCTCCCAGGCGGGTCATCCCGATGCCGCGTCCCCAGGCTGTCCCCAGGCCTTGCCACCGGTACCTGTTTCCGTTCCTCGGAGTTCAGCAGGAGGTAGCGGGGATCAAACACAACCTTATGCAATTCTTTCTCCCACGTAGAAAACGCTGACACCTGCAGGGGGGGAGGAACAGAGTTGTTTTTAGCACCTGTGCTGAGCCTGCAGCTGCAGACAAGGTCACGGGCCGAGGACAGCCTTCAGGCCGTTGGGGCGGGGATGCAGTGCTGCCGAAAAGTGTTCAACACGTCATGCTTCTAAGACGTCCATGCTGAGAGCGCTAGGAAGTTTCACATCTACTCTCGTGACCCTATTTCTTCCTGGGACGTCTTTCGGGGCCACATGTCTCTGACCCAAAGCCCCGTACATCCTTGGAGCTGTTACACGCTGGGTTGTCACAGCTTGAAGGAAGAAAGGGCACCGTAAAACTTCAGCGTGCAGCCCAGGGAGAGGCCACGCCCTGCCAATAGTCTGAGTGGAGCATCATTTTAGTTGATTTTTAATTTTTTTTCCTGTATTGATTTTTAGAGAGAGAGGAAGGCAGAGGGATAAGGGCCACGCGTCTCTGACCCGAAGCCCCGTACATCCTTGGAGCTGTGACACGCTGGGTTGTCACAGCTTAAAGGAAGAAAGGGCACCGTAAAACTTCAGCCCAGGGAGAGGCCACGCCCTGCAAATAGTCTGAGTGGAGCATAATTTTAGTTGCTTTTTAATTTTTTTTCTCTTTATTGATTTTTAGAGAGAGAGGAAGGCAGAGGGATAGAGAGATAGAAACATCAACAAGAGAGAAACATCATCGATCGGCTGCCTCCTGCACGCCCCCTACTGGAGATCCAGCCTGCAACCTGGGCATGTGCCTTGACTGGGAACCGAACCAGTGACCTCTTGGTTCCTAGGTTTGTGCTCAACCGCTGAGCCATACCGACTGGGCTTAGTTGATTTTGAATCCACACTTAACCCTTTTTGAGGTGGGATTTATTTTTTAAAACTATTTTATTTGGCAATAGTTTAAGGTTTACGGAGAAGTCACAAGCATATTGCAAAGTCGGCATGTACCCCACACCTAGATTTCCATATTGTCAACATCTCCACATTCTCTCGATTCTTCCACGCGACTGCTCACAAAAGCCCACACTGCACTCGGAGGTCTTCAGTGTCCACCTAGTTCTCCCTTCCTGCCCAGGCTCCTACCTACGAACCACGTGACACTTAGTCTCATGTCTCCTGTGGGCCCTGCCAGGGACTCGGTGTCACATAACTCACTCCACCAGTTTGCTGACACTCTTCAGAGGTGTAGATGCATAATAAAATACATTTTTAAAAAATTAACAGTATATCATCCTTGCCTTTGACCGAATCTACAATCTGTGAATACTTGAGATGAGCCACGTCGACAGCGACTATAATTTATGGCGATAAAACAGGCGGCGGCGTATCTCCAGGCAGCCACGCTAACCTCCTGCAGGGCCTGAGCAGTCGAGAGAGGGTGGCTGGGGTGTGGGGCCCAGGACGGAGGCGGGAGCCAGACAGCATGCGCATGACACAGGGCCCTTGCTGCCTGCAAGTGGGCACAGCTGTTCCGGAACAGGGACTCTCGATGACTCGTTACAATCAGCCCCGTGATCACCTCTGATAAATTCCCAGTCCCCCAGACCTGTGTCCCCACAGGTTGGACCGAAAGTCCCCCCTATGGGGCAGGCTGAGCGTCCCCTGGGGCCGTTCTCAGCCCTGAGGAGCCCCGGCGTTCCCCCCCACAGTAGGGCACTCTCTTCTCCACAGCACCCTTCACAGTGTGACGTTGTCCTGGTGACCCCCACCCTGTCCACAGGCCCCGCCCACACTGTTCTGGATCGTGCACCCAGGGGTGCGGTCTTGGGGCCTCTGTAGAACTCTGCCCACGCACAGGTCCCCCAGACCAGTGCCGTTCTCTCCCGAACTTCCCTTCATCTCCAACACTGATCTCTACCCATCGCACCTCGCGCTCCCTGGATTCTGTGGCATTTGGTCCTTGAACAACGGGACCCTTCAGGCAGTTCACACCCTCCCCTGTGACGTCCAGCCTCCCACGGCAGCCTGACTGTGAGGCTGACTCCATGTCCTTCCGGAACCGTGTTCCCCACTCGTCGTGTCAGCTCTGGACAACCAGCAGCTGTCCTTCCAAAAACGTCTGGGCATCCGGTGGCCGGCGCTGTCCGTGAAGGGGGAGCCGTCTGTCTTGGCAGGAGCGCGTCTGTTGTCACCGTGGTGGGCAGAGCCGCTGGCCTCTCCCATTTACGCACGGTCTCCATTTCACCCGGGATTGGAGTCGTCCTCTGCCCCGGCAGTCGTGGGATGTGGCCTCCCCCACTGTGGGCTGCGCTGGCCGGCGTGTCCTCGCCCCTGCAGCAGCCAGCCTCTCGGCGAAGGTCCTCTGACGTCACTATGTCGAGTGGCTGTCTGTTCCCTGCCGTTTCTCCAGCGGAGACACCAGAGCTGGCGTCTACAGCGCGGGCACAGGAGGAGCGGCAGGGCCCACTTCCCACCGACAGATGCCACCGCCAGAATGTGGCCACATCGGGCAGGGTCAGAGGTCACCGTGGTGGCTGGCTGGCACGGCGTCCCTGTGCGGCACCATCTGCACCTGCAGATGCCACGGCTGGAGGGAGGGCAGGTGGAGGGAGGCTGCAGCTCAAGGTCGAAGCTGGTGCCCTGTCTGCAGCCCCTGGGACCGGCCCTTCCTTCTACAGCTGTTTCAACGCCTCTTCGTGAAAATGTCTCGTTTGGAAACCCCAAAGACGTGTTTTGTCAGAACAAACAGCTCCATTGTCTGCCTCTTGACCAGCTGAGCACTGAGCTGTCCCCACCCAGAGGACAGAGTTCGAGGGTGTCCCTCACCAAAGCCCCCCGGGGGTCAGCAGGCCACGGGGGGCGGGGCGGGGGTGCACAGTCTTGAGCACAAAGGAGAAAAGTCACGGATGAGACGGCTCCGCCTCAGTCCCAGCATCACCAGAGCCCGTCCGAGCACCGAGCAAAGGGCCGCCGTGGCCGCTGGGGAGATTGCGTTTTGGAGGAAAATGGATCCCGTTTAAGTAAAGTGTCTGAGAGTTCAGCTCGGGCTAAAAGGTGAGATCACGTAAGTCCCTTAGCGCCCGATGCCGGCGACAGTCCCTCCGTCTCTAGACCAGACCTCGGCAGGCAGGGGCGCCTGCGGGCAGCAGACGCTGCTTTGATCTTCAAAGCCAAAGGCTATTTTGAGTCTCTGTCAATCCCTGGATCCCAGAAGAGGCCGGGACTTAAAGGCCGGAGGACAGGCAGGAAGATGGCCAAGGACGGCTCTGCCAAGTTCTGAATCGCAGGATCGATTGTCTGCCTCGGAGGGGGGGAGGGGGGGTGTCAGTGCCGACTGGCTCACTCAGTTACAGCTGAGGCAGGGGCTCCCCTCTGAGCAGCTGGGAACCCAGTCCTGGCTCCGTGTGCATCTGGGTGACTGTCCGCATCACCCTCCTCATCCTCGTCGCCTCCTGCCTGACTGTATTGGGGCCCAGCGGAGCTGCTGCTGCCTCAGCTCTGGACCACGGCACTGGGGTGCCCAGGGCTCCGTAAGGGGCCAATCTCCATCTCAAACAAAAATCCAGTTACTTCGGACGCTAATGTTTTTTAGCAAATTTTACAATCAAACACTGTGTTGGTGGGTGATCCACGGACCACGGGCTCTCTCCCTCCTGCCAACTCAGGTCTCCCCTGGTCTCGGGGGGATGGACCACAGGCCTTTGGGCGGGAGGGGCAGGGCCTTTCTCACCTGGTGGAGGGAGGTGGGGAAGCAGGTGCCACATCCTGAAGGCCACCAAGGCCACTGGGGGCAGGCGGACGTGACAGTCGCTTAACCACACAGGAGACCCAGCGGCCCCTGAAGAAGGTGCATAAACGTCCCTTTGGCCTGAGCACCCCACGGCCGCCCCCCATGAGCCCCAATGCTGCCAATTCCGTGCTTGAGGAGCTGCCTGGCCATCGTGGACCCGCCCTTCCAGCCCTCCCTCCCGTCTGCTGCTCAGGCTGACAGCAAACACTGTTCTTTGCAATTAGCACTCACACCATTACCCTCTTTAGCCAATTTCCTGCAACGCTCGCCCGCGTCTTCTGTCTCTGGCGCGGGAGCTCCTGACCGTTACAGGCAGCGAGAGATGGACACCACCCAGAGGAAGTGGACAGGCTGGAGGGGGAAGGCTGTGCCCTTGGCGTGTCCTTGACAGTGAGACAGTGTCATCCTTTGAATTTCTGGGAAGCAGCTCTGAGACGGGCTGGGGTGCAGCCAGTGCACCTGGGAGGTGATTCGGACTCACAGAGACTGTCACGGGGAAGGAGAAGCCACGGACGGTACAGGAGATGGACACCACCCAGAGGAAGTGGATAGGCTGGAGGGGGAGGCTGTGCACTTGGCGTGTCCTTGACAGTGTCATCCTTTGAATTTCTGGGAAGCAGCCCCGAGACAGGGGCTGGGGTGCAGCCACTGCACCTGGGAGGTGATTCCGGGCTCACGGAGACTGTCACGGGGAAGGAGAAGCCACGGACGGTACAGGAGGCCTGGCAGGGTCCTGGAGAACATGCCAGAACCGGCCTGAGATTGGTCTCCCAGGGACAGGGAAGTGGGGGTTTGCACCCCGGTCCCCACCCCTGCTGGGTTGAGCAGATGTTTAATCCTGAATTTAGAGGTGGGAGCGTTCGGCCCGTGGAAAGTTCCATGAGCCCAGGTGAGCCAGGTTCCTGCAGGGGAAGCAGAGGGAAGCAAGGGGCCTGGACACCCCGACTCCCACCCCTCACCTCCCAGTGCTCATAGTATTTTACTAATTCGGGGTTGTTTTTTCCATTTTGACGGATAAATACAATTGTACATTCTTATTCCACCATATACTTGGCTGACTTAACTGACTTTCAGGGCTATCCTCCCACTCGGGGTCGTTGTAACCCATCCTAGGAACCGGGGCCGTCTTTGCGGGCAGAGCCTGTCTAATGCTGACGGAGATGTGACTGTCTGAAGAGCTGTGTCCCCAAGGCCCTGGCGGCCCATCGGGGAAAGAGGACTCACAGCAGAGAAGCCGGGAGGAAGCCTCAACCCGAGGAAAAGAACAAGGAGATTCCCAAACGATCAACAGTAAACGCCAAGCTCCTCGCTGCCCGGTGCTGGCGGAGCGAGCTGGACGCACGGTCCCAGGACCTCGAGCATCGCTGCCGGGAGGGCCTGGGGCGAGGAGCCTGCTTCACAACGAGCGGGGATGCTGGGCACGTGCTCACAGGGTGCAGGGAACACGCCCTCACAATGACCAAGATCGG